GAAATTATCGATGTCCCGCTTGAATGGCACGTAAATGGGAGTGAAGCCACGAGAACACTTGCCAGCGCAATCAACACTAAAGTTGTGAAATTTGCTCACAACCTTCTCCGCAGCAATCGCAGATATAGACTCCGGGCACAGATTGGTGGTCATGAAGAAATTCAGAGCATGGCAAGCAAGCGAGAAGTACGAACGCATGCAATGCTTAGCGTAAGACCCCAGAGGACGGACTTTGAGGTGCAAGCTGGATGCTTTCGGCCACACATCGACTCCACCGAACTGGTGATGAGTGACATCACGTGGAAGAAGGCCTGTGTACGACAGCTTAGACTGTAACTCCGAGAAAGCATTGTGGATGGAATTCCAGCCAGGGAAAGAGCGACACACGTTGCCCTTGCCAAGGAAAACCTCACGAGCACGGAACTGCCAAGAACGAGGGCAAGAGATGGCAAGAGCAGATGGCATGTTGTCAACGGGGGAGACGACAGCAATACGACGAAGACGACGACTCCACTCCACCACATCAGATTGTAAAACGCCATACACTCTGAAGGCGTCAGCTCGAACAAACATTGCCCCGATTTCCTCGCAAGCATCAGACAAGTCAACACAAACATCCGGAACAACATGTGCGCATTTCGTGCGCAGAGCGTCAACAGCACGCAACAAACTATCGCGAAATTGAGCAAAACTCCAAACGCAAGCCCCCTCAGAATGGAAACCAGCCGGAATGCTGGATGAAATTGCCGTGTTCTGCAACAGGCAACAAACGTGTCCGTTCTGGGAACGGCCCACAGACAATTCATCACAGAGGGCATCACATGTGCATGGGAACTCACAAGTATCAAGTGATTTAGACCAAACCTTTGAATTCACAAGCAAACTCTTCGGGGATGGTGCCTTCAATCGCTTGAACAACAAGTGCACAGACGTACCAACCGGAAGTTGAACGGACAATTGAGAACGGATGGCAGAAGCAAGAGCAGGACGAATGGGGAAATCCAGCAGAGAAGGAAGAAGCAGAGAACAAGAAACAAAAGAACGAGAACTCTTGCGGTCAATAATCTGGAACACTCTCTGGCGAGCCACGGCAAGGCTTGATCCGGACAGCGTTTTTGGCAGACGTTGCAACAACCAGGGCGCGACGATGGGTTTGTTATCGCGCAGCCATTTAACAACATGACTGCTGCTATTAGCTTTCCGTCGCATATCGCCCAATCTGAGAACCAAGGCAGACAAGGAAGATCGCTGCATGGTGTAACAACACATGGACCTGCAATCAACCTGAAACGTACTCAAGAAAAAACGAGGGTTGGAAAAACGACACGGACGAGGACGAGAACCGGACTTGGTAGGATTCACCGCCACGCTGCAGTCGCCAGACTTCTCCCATGGCGCACGGACGTACTTTTTCACAAACGGAACATTCAATTCAGGACGAAGGGCATGAATGAACCGTTTTTCAAGCACGCGCAACTCAAAATCCGACGACGACGACAAACAAACGAGAGGGATGCACACAAAACTAGCAACATCCAACGACTTCATTTTGTAATAAGCAGGGATTTGAGAACGAGGCCGGTCGCTGAGCAGATTACCCAAATGCTCACGCATGCGCACGTCCATCCCCCGATTCGTCTTGCCGACATACATAAAATTGTGATCCGCGGACAACCAGGCGCACACAACATGGGAGGTGAACGAGGGAGAGACACGATCGCAATACACAGCAGAAGCAGAGCGAACAATGGCAGAGTAAACTTTCTGATGGTGGCAAAAGGAAGAGATACCAAGCAGGCGGATGGTAGAGATGGAGCGCAGAAAGTTAAGAATGTCCAACATAGTGCTCATCTCCGACTTAGCAAGTACAGTGGCCTTCTGACATGAAGAGAAACGCAACCCATGCAAATGGGCTTTGAGACAACGCAAGAGACCGGTAACCTGTCTCCACGCCTTCACTTGAACGCACCGGCAATGAACATTCGAAGCGACATTTTTTATGATGACGCCTACAGAGCGGGCGCTGTCGACAGCCAGACGTCGATCCCACGATTCACATTCAAGCAAACGTCGCGCACGACGCACGTGTGGCAAAGCATACTTATCTTCCATCTCAGTCCAATCCCTCACGTTGATGCGCTGGCAGAAGCAAGGAGAAGAGGAGGAGGAGAAGCACATGCGCGTGTCAACATTCATGCCAAGCTTGGATAACACAGGTGCTATGGAATCGCGCGCGTGCATGCTAGTTTGCCACGTGGCGGGCGAAATATGGAACACGTTACCTACGGATCAGCGCGGCTGGTTCTGTTGCTCCACAATCCTAGCCCACTCAGAAGAAGCCGATGCTGCATCAGCCTGCCTCGGGCGACGCCTCGGCCGGGGATTTGGAGTGGACATCTCGCGGACAGGAACCCTGCGAACCTCCATGTCGCTCACGACAGAATCCCACGGATGGTTGGACATGCTACCGTTGTTGGCCCACTGGATCTTCACCTGGTAATTACCTTCACCAGGAAGCTGCTCTACACCAATCACAGTGCCGTTCTCATCGTTGTGCCTGACAGAGCAACCCATGGATTCCCGGGGATCAAGCAGAGGCGCCCTCGCACCGGTGACCAGATCCATCTCGGCTCCCTGGAAGTCAGTGAACAAGGAACGCTCCGCGCGAGGCTCACGGTGGAAGTCATGATCACGAGGGCGGGAACGATTCTGGCGAAAGGATTCATCGCAACGCTTCCTTTCCAAGAAATCACCCACGGACTCTGCCTGGGGGATCTGCAAGGTTTCGAGCACCGAACGAACTCCGACGACATAGTTATTCCACGTCTCCTCACTGCGCGACATTGGAATGAGGCCAGAGATCTCCTGAGCACGACGGACACTGACGTCCCATTCCTCGTGTGCACGAAGAAAAACAGGTACGGCGCGCTCCTTTTTCATCATGTCCCGGAGGCCAGGGAGGTTCGTGGCCGCGCTCACAACTTCGAATCGATCAACGTTGTCCGCATGAAGAGGTAGGAATCTGCCATGCTCGTCCTGGTTGTGCGCTCTCATATCCACGACTTGCCCTTCGTACACACGCATCGGCGCAGGCCGTGGCGTAGGTGCAGATGTGCCGGAAGCCATTGGGAACTGGAAGGGCCCTTGTGGACGGTATCCGTAGCTGGACTGATGCTGATACTGCTGGCCAAACATTGGCGGGCGAGGAGCGAATGGATTCATCGCAAAGTAAGGAACGAACCGAAGTACAGTAATAGGAGAGAGGGTGGCTCGAGAACAGACATCAGAAGAAGCCGAGAAGCTCCGCGACCAACGCGATGCTGCTAGGCTCGAGGCCGAACACATATAACTGGAGGCGGCGTGCGCTCTTCATGAGCAGGGTCAACAGGCCAAGACTACCAGAGAGGACGACCAAACGCGAATGGCAGAGGCCTGGGATCACGCTAAAGGGCGCGCAGATGAGCAGAGCAAGAAAGATGCGCTCTTCATTCGCGCCGTAAGAAAAGAAAATAGCAGGCCCAAAGCTGACTTGGAGCAACATAAGCGGGCTAGAGAGTCCCCGGAGAAACTTGAGACGACAAGGCAACCCCGCTCGGCCGCTGAGTGGACTAGATCGACAGCTCTGGCTCATCCGGGAGGCGTCGCACCGCAGGCGAGGGCAATCTCAACGCCGGCCCAGCCGGGACGCGTTGAGCCTTCCCCTAGACCAATTGTTGTTTGCCCCATCCGAGCGAGGGCAGCTCGGCCGCCCCGACCTCATATTGGTACGTCATATGAGTCGTGTTATATCTGCTCAAAGCCTGCATCCGGGGTTTGCGCGGGATGCGAGAAACCCTCTTGTAAGGAACGCGCGGACGAAGGGGCCAAGATATGCACTTCATGTGCCAAGAGCAAGGCGTCCAGAGAGCAAAATGACCTTGTGATAAAGGCAGAGCAGTTGAAGATCCTTGAAGACATGTGCCGCAGAAAGGACGAAGCAAGGAAGATGGCGGAACATGCGGGTGAATTGGCGAGGAAGCACTCTGAGCGTTCGGAGGAGTTCTTTCGACCGCGCGAGCTGCACATGCAGGGGCGCGCGGACCGCGAAGCAGAGCTGGCCGCCATCAGGCAAGAGATAGCAGCGTCGAAAACAGATCAGGAAATGCTGCAAAAGTCGAAGGGGCGCGCGTCTCAAAGGGAAGCTAGACTGAGTCAAGAAACAGGCTGGCAGCATGGCGGAGGTGGCGGACCCAATGGTCTTGGTATTCCTATGCTTCAGTCGTCCGGACTCCAACTGGAAATCGTCGCCATCATAATCATCATCACCGCTGCCGGCGCAAGCCCGAGCCGACTCCTCTGAAACGCCAGTTTGGCTACGCTTTTCAGCTGCTGAACGTGTCCCCTCATTCGGAGTGTATCCGAAAGACTCTGAATCATTTTTTTGATCGGGGCTGGTTGCACAGTGGGCCATGTGATTGGCTTCGTCCCGCCATCAGCGCTCAGCTTCTGGACCACCCGCCGGTGGCACGTGAATGCCGTCAGCCCCCATGCCGCCGCCTGACCAGAGGCAGCGACCAAGTACATCCGGACCGAGGGAGAAACATGTGTGATATATTTTATTTGTCTAGAAGGGTGTCCACCACCTTCGAGGTGAGGAATCGGCGATTGAGGACCGAGGTTCGACGATCGAGGCTCGAAGTGGTTGGTATTTTTGCTGCTGTTTCTTATGCCTCTGGGCGGCTTCCCGTCCCCACGCCTGGATTTCCCCCGAAATGCTGTTCGACGGGTTTTTGTTCGCCATGTCGACCTCTGGACGTCTGTTTTACGGCTCCTGGACCAACACGTCGTCGTCGTCGTCGTCGTCGTCGCCGCCGTCGTCGTCGTCGTCGTCGTCGTCGTCGTCGTCGTCGTCGTCGTCGTCGTCGTCGTCGTCGTCCTCCGTCGTGCGTCGTCGCCATCGTCGTTGTTGTTATTGTCGTTATTGTTGTTGTAGTCGTCCTCCGCCGTCCGTCGCCCTGGAGGCGGAGCCCGAGGCTCCCGCGCTGCCCGGGCCGCCCGGGCCAACGCCCCCAGAGGCGGAGCCGCGGCCGCCCGCGGCGGCGCCCGGGGCGGCCAGCCCGCGGGACGTTGCCGGGGGACGAGGCGGTTGCCGTCGTGGCCGCCTGCCGTCGACCGTTCATCGTTCGTCCGTGTTCGTCCGTCGTCGTCCTTCGGACGTTGACGTCGTCGTCGCCGTCGCCGTCGCCGTCGCCGTCGTCGGGGTGGGCGCGGACGTCGTCGTCCTCTTCTTTCTCCCTCTTCCCTTCGTCCTTCTACCTCCTCCGTGTTCCCTCTCTGCTCGTCCCTCCTCGTCCTCCACTTTGCCCGTTTCCATCCGCAACGGTTGTTCTTCATCCCCCCCTCTCCACCTCCCCCCTCCTTCCTCTTTCCCTCCGGCGGTCACGACAAGGAACCCGACGTCTCTGGCCTCGGTGTTGCCACGGACGAGGACGCCCCGGGCTGCAGCCAGCCGCGGCTGCTCCAGCAGAGCAGAATTTCCGAGCCCTTGGGCCCAGAGTTGCTTGAGAGGAAGAGAAGGCTCGGATGCCGAGCGGCCTTCCGGGCCGTCTTGGCACCGCCATGGGCTGGTCCTGTGCCATTTTTGGTTAGTCTTTGGCCCTCTGGGGACCCGCTTGAGGCCCCCAGGGAGGCTTCGGACTATCGGTCCTCCAGGGTAGGAAACCAGTGCATTTAGCCCGCACTGTTTTGGTCGCGCGGCGTCTGGTCAGCCCACCGGTCGGGAGGTATCGGGCCACGATGCTCTCGACTTACTCCAAAACGATTGGATGGCGAGCTCCCAGGCAGAGAAAGGCGGGCCCGCAACCGCATCGCGTACAGCAGGCCAGGCCAGCAAGCGAACCCAATTGGGAACGCCCCGCAGCGAAAGGAGGCACCAACGAAGTTGAGGCAAAGCAGGATCACATCAAGCGCGCACACATGGCACCAAGCAAGCGCTCAACATAGCCCCCGCAGTTGCGGATACGAGTGAAGGGGGGTGGATCGGCAGTGTGCTAGGCTCGAAATCAAATTCGAAGAAACCCGCAACAGGCGCCGATTGTTTTTCCGCCATCCTGAGTGGCATTCTTGTTCCCCCACATCCTGATTGGGGTTCTTGTTTTTCCAGAACGCCCTGTCCTTCCCTCCTTCCTCCCTCGTTTTCCACTGAATGCTTCTCTCCTCCTCCTCCTCCTCCTCCTCCTCCTCCTCCTCCTCCTCCTCCTCCTCCTCCTCCTCCCCCCTCCTGCAGATTGGGCTCCTGGAGGGGGGGCGCCTGCTCCCTCTTTTCCTCACCAGAGGAAAGCCAGAATGCTGCAGACACAACACGCACGATACATACACGCGAAAGAGCGTGTTCTACCGCTGCTGGCGGAAAACCGGGGGGGGTCACTACCGGTTCGAGCCCCTCCCCCCCCCCCCTCCAGAAAACCGGGGGGGTTCATTACCGGTTCGAACCCCTCCCCCCCCCCCCCCTCCCAGTTCATCATGAAAAGGGGGGGGGTCACTACCGGTTCGACCCCCCCCCCCCCTCGAAAACCGAGTGGGGGTGCGGACAGTGGTGGGGACGGTGTTGGTGGGGACAGTGGTGAGGGGACAGCGGGACAGTGGTGGGGACAGTGGGACAGTAGAGGGCCGTAGTGGTGGGGACAGTGGTGGGGACAATGGTGGGAACAGGGGGGACAGTGGACAGTGGTGGGGACGGTGGTGGTGGGGACAGTGGTGTGGGCATAGTGGGAATGAGGTGGAAACAGTGGGACAGTGGAGGGTACAATGGTGGTGGGGACAGTGGTGAAGGCGGTGGCGAGGACGGCGGTGGGACAAAGGGACAGAGGTACAGTGGGGACAGTGGTGGGGACAGTGGGGACAGTGGTGGGAACAGTGGGACAGCTCAGTGGGACAGCGGCGGAGTCAGTGGGACAGTGGGGACAGTGGGGATAGTCGGGCAGTGGTTGGGGCCGTGGAGACAGTGGGGAGAGTGGAACCGTGGTGGGAACAGTGGTGGGGACAGTGGGGACAGTGCGACAGTAGTGGGGGCACTGGTGGGGACACAGTGGGGACAGTGGGTTGGCAATTTTCCGCAGTAAAGCGGCGGTGGATCACGCTCTCTCATACGCGCACATCACTGCTCTGCCCGCGTGGGCCCGATCAGGGCCCAGATCAGCACTGATCTGGAACTAAAATTCGTGCGTCGTTGAGGCTGCACCGGCCCACAAGGGCCTCCTCGACACAAGAACGTGTCAAGGCCGCACAGCGGCCTAATATGGCATCACGTCACACAGCATCGTGCTTCGCCGCCGGGATGAAGGGCGCTGCCAACGGAAGTCGAAGAAACCAGCCCACTATGCCTGCGCGACCGACTGCTGTCTCACGGCGAATTCTACGAGATGGGCAGCTCAGGATGTCCCCGGCGGGATCGCGCCGGGGGCGGCCGCATTACGAGCCCGAGGCCTACAGGTGGATCAGGGATGCCCAGGAGGCTTTCGCGGCCCAGGCCACGACGCAGCCGGCGCATAATTCACAAGGTTTGAGGAGTCCCGCGGGTTCTGAGCAGTAGAGTACGGCCAGCGTGATTCTCGAGGCCCCTAGAGACTTCTAGAGGCCCGAGAGCTTCGCCAGACCTCCCGAAGCTTTTTTCTCTCTGGAGCTATGTGGTCTCCTAGGAAGGGTGCTTGCGGCCCTCTGCCAGGGGTGCAGTTTTCTATGCTGAAAAAGCTGTTGGCGCCATCCTTCTCATTCAGTCTCACGGCGTCCTGGGGCCCCCCAAGGAACGGAAGTCGGATCGCGCGCCCAGCGCGCGTGCATGGGCATTCGAAAAATCTCCACACGCGCGCGCGAGAGTCCCGCCCACTAAGATGGTGAGAGCGTTGAAGAACCGATGGTTTCCCCAAGAACTCGCAAGAGCGCGCGCGCAGACCTTTTTTGAAAACGGATGCGGCAAAAACCATGTGTTCTTGCATGTGTTCGCGACGCTCGACTTTGAAATCGTTGCGAACCAGCAGGTTTTGAAGGGTTCTGGCATGCGCGCGCGACGACGCGCGTTTTTTTTTGTCGTCATTTTGAGTAGCAAGGGGTTCGCGAAAATGAATGATTTGTGATAAACGAGTGTGTGTGTGTGCGCGTAGTTTTTGTTGTAGAGGATGGTGGGCTGGGGGGTCGATATCGGCTTGGCTGGGATGGTAAGAAATCATATTCTGACTGAGCGATGGAGCAGGATCGTATTTAAACTACGCATCCCCATGGCGGGGGGATAACCCTTGGTGGGGGGGAGCGGTCGATCTTAATTGTTCCGTACAAGAAAATCCAGGGCGGCGACGAGGCGGCGACGTGGTGGCGACGGCGACAACACGGCCGCCAGACCAACAGACGGGCCAGACGACGGGCGGCGACGAGGCGGCGACGGGACGGCGACGGCGGCCACATAGCCGCCAGAGCGGCAGACAGGCCCACAGGACGGGCGGCGACGGGGCGGCGACGGCGGCCACAGCCGCCAGAGTTTCAGACATGCTCCTTAGAAAAGATAGGATTTCCTAAGTGCAAAACTTGTTTGGGGAACATGTATGTAAACATCGTTACACTGTGATTGTTTGAATTCAGACATATGCAGCCCACGAGCGTTTCTAATTTGTCTGATTCGTTTCCAGTCTTGGGCTGTCTGTCGGGGCTCGTCTTGAGTTTTGAGGGAGGTGCGTTGGAGGTCCTTTCCGCGACTCTTGCAAGGCGAGACATTTGTCATCGGCAAGCGTTAAAATCAGAAGGCTCGGAAGTAGAACTGAGTGCCTCTTGGGTTCTGCTGTGGTGGACCTTTGCCTCTTCTTTCGCAAGGAGCACCGCGCTTTAAGAGAAAGAAGCGGTTTCCAGGGACGGGGGAGTGCGCCCATGCCGAGAGAGAGAGAGGGAGAGGGAGAGGTGGCGGCTCAGGCTTGGGGGACACTTGCTGCAGTCCTCCCCTTCTCGGGTCAGGTGGCGCCGACCCCGTTGCGGAATTCCTCGCGAGCCTGCCGGAGCGGCCCCGCGCCGAGCTGCCGACCCTCGAGGTCGAGGACCAGCGCGACCAGGAGCCCGCGGACCGCCGCGCCTCCGAGGTCCTCGACGGGGGAAGCGCCGAGGCCCGCGGCAAAGCGGGCGCCATCTGTTCGATCACTGCTCGCTGGAGTGACCTCTGGTGCGCGGCTTTCATGGGGCCTCGGGGGGGTCAGACGTAAGCATGCCAGCCGCCACCTGTCTCGTCGCATGCCACGGTCTGCAAGCCGCGCGCCAAAGGTCAGTCTTGCGAAGGGTCACTCTTGCGTGCAGCCGATGTCAGGACAACCCAGTCGAACGGTGAGAACACGACGTGTCTGCATTTGTTGTCAGTATCGGCCCAGCCAGCGTTTCGTCTTTTGCAGGGCTCTTCTGAGCCGAGCTGGCTACTGACGGCGTGCAGTTGCCCCAGCACGTGTGCACGTGCGCCCTAATACGGCCCCAATCCTCCCCCCCTTCCCTTCCACCTTCCTCGAGGGGGCAGGAGTGAGAGGGCACAGGTGTTTCTAGTCGATCACCCCTGACGCTTCTCCCCGGCCGCCTCCCTCGGCGCCCATCCACCTCCCTCCCCTTTCCTCCCCCTCGAGGGGGATTTGGGATAGGGGGGGGCGAGAGGGGCAAGGGAGGCGCGACGGCAGAGGGGGGGAGGGGCGAAAGGGGGAGGGGTGGAGGCCGTCCAAGGGCCCTTCGTCGAGCGCGGCCAGTACCGGATGATCTGTCCCGGTCCAGTTTTGTCCCGGTCCTGGCCTCGTGCCTCCTCACCCCAGGGCCACGGGGCGCAGAGGCGTCTCCAGTTGCGCTTGGAGGAACCTCCCAGGAACCGCTTTTTGGGGTCCTTACCGAGGCGGCCGACGAGGCTGGCGAGGACTCTCGCCGTGGGCCCAGCGCGCCCGTGAGCCCAATCTTCCCGGCGGCGCAGCCCGCTGAGCCGGCCAGCGAGGGGCCCACGCCCACGCCCTTGCCCTCGCCGCTGCTGGGCGCCATCGCCAAGGCCACGGCGCTGCTGCTGCCGCTGCGCGTCTTCCGTCTCACCGCTTCTTTTTTCCGTTGCCTGGACTTCGCCTCCTCCTCGAGGAAGAGGCGGAGGAAGAGGAGGAGGAGGAGGAGGAAAAGGAGGAAGCCTCGGGCCCAGGCCCGTGGCAGCGCGCTAGCCCTAGGGGGCCAGCCACGACCGAAATCATCTCTGTAACTCTCTGTTACATCCTTTGACATACCTCCGCTATCTCTTCACATCCTCCTACCCTTTGCACCTGTTGCATCTTGACTTAGTTTTCTTATTCAGCGTCACGGTGCACCGTCCTGTACTACAACGTACGTAAGCACGCGCCACCACGGCTACGACATCTACCTCGTACGCCCACACAACTAGCACCATTACGTGGTCATTTTGGCCTGCGACTGCTGAATTTTGCAAGCAATACCACCACGAGTCCGTCAACCTCTCTCAATCCCGCCTGGCACCACAGGGGGAGGGAAAAGCGTGCAGCAACACGCACACTATTACGAAAACCATCAGCAACACACACTACTCGACCAATCCACCGACCAGCAGCTACAAGCAACACAGCTACTACGCAACCGACATCACAGCACACAACAGCCTCCAAGACAGACGGCCGACACAATGTACGGCCACACTCAAACCCCACAGGCCAAAGGCAAAGGCAACGGGAACACCAACAGCAAAAACCATACGGCAAAGGCAAAGGACCATCCTGGCAGCCAGTCGTGCACAGCGGATACGCCAGCCCAGCTCAACAAGCTCCGACCTACTGCGCAACACAACCACAATACCAGCAGCAAAGGGGCGACAATAATTACCAAGCAGCACCAACTTCACCACATTGGACACAACAGCCGCACAAAACCAAGCTGCAGCGCACGACTACGCCAAGACCGAAAACAAAACAAGCACCGACAACACCAAAGAAGCACAACGACTACGTGCCACAACCGAGCTTCGGCAGCAACCCAGATCACACAGCATACACCACGAGGGATAATCATACTCTGATCGACAGCATACCAGAAGCATGAAACAACGACGTTGCACACAAAGACAAGCCTGGAGCCCCCCCCTGGAGCTGGGAGCATGGAGTACTTCCAAGAGCAGAGCAGAGAGCAGCAGAGCGGACCGTGGGGAGGCGGGAAGTCCGCCTGCCCCGGCAAGGCGCTGGGCCGACATAACCGGCGAGGTGTGAAAATATCGCAACGTATGAAGAAAGTGAAACAACAGTGCGATATGAAACAAATTACCGCGGCGCGGCGTGACAGACGTCGAGCGTCAAGCGCCCGGCTGATTGTGTGGTCAGCAGCAGCAGCGGCAGGAAGAAGGAGGGAGACGGCAGGAGGCCGCGGGGGGGGGGGGGGGGCGACGAACGAGAACAGGAAGAACAAGCAGCAGAGCAGACCGAGCAGAGAGCAGCGCGGAGGAGGAGGCAGGAGAGCGAGCGAGAGAGAGCGGCAGCAGAGCAGGAGAACGGCGACCGGACGGACGGCGGAGGGGGGCAGCGGCAGCACAGCAACACAATGGCAGCGGCAGGAGGGGAACGGGAGAACAAGAAATTAAAACAATTACACGTCTGTCCACCTTTTTCGCGGGCGGCCTACGCTTCTCCTTGCGTGCATTCTTAACCAAGGTACCCAATTCACAAGTCTCGCGCTCCATCTGCTGTCGGTGGGCGAAGACAGCTTGCATGTCCATTTCTCTTTCCAGAACATTGACACCCAATCGTCCACGCCGCTTCGCTCAGCAAGCTGCATACTGGCGCTCGTGGCACGCCGGATATACTCAACCCAGTCTTCGTCAGGTAGCCGTCGAATGCCCACCATCTGTCTCAGCATCCGGCGCTGCGTGGATCGAAGCTTTCGCTCCTCGGCCGCTGTGAGCGTCCAGGTGCTGGAGGCGTACAGAACGCAGGGCGCCACGCATGCTTTGAACAATCTCAGACGCTGGTGGATCTGGAGGCGCTTGTTGCACAAGAAATCGTTCAAAGCGTGGAACGCAGCCCATCCGGAAGCGAGCCGGTTGCCAAATTCTGTTCCGTGGACGTCATCCAGAGAAATTTTCTTACCAAAATATTTCTCTGACTCGCCGTGCTGGAGCACTCTCACATTGTGCGCGCCGCACTTTACATGTGGCGGCCGGTCAGATGCGTTGGTCAGTACCACTGTCTTGCCCATATAGACCTTGAGGCCATATTTTTTGGCCTCCGACTCCAAATCTGCGATCATTTTGGAGACGTCTTTTGTGCATCCAGATAGAAGCAGCACGTCGTCGGCGAAGCGCATGTTCGTCAGGGAATCTTCGGGGTCGTCCACCACTAACCCATAATACATTCCAGTGCGCTTGCTATACAGCTTATTCCAGCGTGCCTTCAACTTGCGGATGATTGCTTCCATGACCACGACAAACAGGAAAGAGCTTATCGGATCCCCCTGTTTCACGCCCCGGGAGATGTCGAAGGGTCTACTTCTCTCACCAGCGATTACAGTAGCAGTCTGCCTTGCGTAGAGGCGCTTCAGCAAATCGATGTATGCGCTCGGTACTCCCTGGTCTGCCAGGGCTGCCCAAAGCGTATCGTGTTCAACTGTGTCGAACGCTTTTTCAAAGTCGATCATGCTAATCCACAAATCTACGTTGAACTCGTTGCAAGCCTCTGCAATCAGAGTCATAGAAATCAAATGATCCACTGTGCTGAAGCCCTTCCTGTATGCGGCCTGGTCAACAGACTGCTCACCAATGATCGTACCGCGGAGGCGGCCACATAGGAGCCGACTGGACAGCTTGTACAATATCTCCAAGATCGCGATTGGCCGGTAATTGCCAGGCAAGGAAGCGTCCCCCTTCTTGTGCAGCACAATGATGCGGGTAGCCAGCCACCCGTCCGGAAGTTGCTCGCCAGGAACAAGGATCGCGTTGAACGCCTCCAACATTAGATTCCTCAGCGTTGGACAGTCGACTTTCAAGAGCTCTGCTTTGACTCCGTGGTCGTCGCCTGCTTTGCCCCTTCTCATCAGCCGGATAGCAGTGTCCAGCTTCTCTGTCGTGAGAGGAGGCACATTCTCTGCCCCTCTGGGCGCGTGCACCTCTGGCCTGCCTTGGCCCCTGGTGGTCGCGTGCAGGTCCTCGTAGAATTGCGCAAACACTTCGGCAATCGAGGTCCGGTCATTGTGGAGATGCCCGCCTTTGTCTTTCATTTCGGTGATGTGGCATTTGGACCGGTTATTTGGCACTTCCCTCAACTGTCTAATGCCGCGGATTTCCCCCAAGATCCCCTCCGCCTTGCCAAGCTTGGCGTTGACCCGGCGCGCGCGGATCGTCTTTTGGATTTCTTTGCTCTATAGCCTCCCGAGGTGTTTCTTGTCTGCTGCCGGAAGGCCTGCTGTCTGAAGACCTCTGCGCAAAGCTATCATCAAGCGCAACGTGTCGTCCGATTCGGTAGCTTGCTGTGTCTCTGGATTGGCGCCTCCGCGCGCCTGGTCGTCCCGGGCTGCGTCCACCATGCACTTGCTCAGCGTATCGATATTGCCGGCAGCGGTCATGTCGCACCACCCGACAGGTTGCAGGCGCGCCTCCGGAGATGAAACATACGATGTGCCAGGTTGCCACGCAGTGTCTTTCGTACGTTTTCGCCTGCGTCGGCGAGCACAGGGTAGTGTTAGCTGCAAACATACCGGTCTGTGATCTGATCCCACGTCTATGCCGGGTGATACCGTACAGAGCGAAAGGATTGATTGTATTCTGTTGTCTAGAAGAATATAATTTAGCTGCGCTCTTCGATCCCCATTTCTGTATGTCCACGCCTCCTCAAAAGACTGCAGGTAAAATGTGTTAGCTATCACCATGCTCCGCAAGCAGCACCACTGGATCACCAGGTCTTGCGCTTCGGCATGGGGTTTTCTCCAACCACGCTTCTGTCATCGTGCTCTCCTCGCGGCCCCACCTCGGCATTAAAGTCACCAGCAGCTATGACGGCGATCCCTTTTCGACTGGCTTCTCTATGCTGAACGTCAATTTTGGCGTACACGGCCTCCACTTCCTCCTCCTCCTGCTCTGCGTGCGGCATGTACACAGCAATGATTCTGGCAGCGCCTATGACAGGAAGGCTCATGTCCAGCACAGCTAGCCTGTTCGACAGCGCTCGGAAGAGTTTGTGCGACCACCGCTGGTGTAGCAAGAATCCAACTCCACATCTTCTCGGAGTCCCCCCGCTTCCAAACCAGTGGTGTCCGTGCTGAGTTACCCACGCCTCGCGTCGATCTGCTCCCCATGGTTCTGCAATCGCTATGACATCCCAATGTGTGTCGCCTACTTCCAACAATAGACGCTCCATGCGATCTTCAAAAGACATCAAAGAATGAACGTTGTATTCGATAGTAACAAAATGTGGATCATGAATCTTATCTGGGCTGCGGTCCCTCGGAACCTCGGTGGAGCTCTGGGCTCTTCTTCGACGGGAACTCTGTGTAAACTTGCAGGCCGCACTCATTTCCTAGCCCCGGAGGGCCTCGTTCACCGCCCCCTTGATTACGGAGGCATCCACGTTGATGCCCGCCTCTTTCATCTTGTCCGGGTCGAGAGCTACCTGGCCGTCGTTGCCCTCGCCCGTCCACTCTCCAACACGCACGCGGTTCACGATGAGGATGCCTCTGCGGTAGTCCACGCGAACGTTTCCGCCGTGGCGAGCCCCACCTCGATGAGCACTTTCTTGTACTTTCCCAGCGTCTTGCCCCGCATGCGTTCCTCAGGGCTCCGGCTGGCCGATATCCACAAGTCTTTCCCTTCAACTGTTTCCTTGGGCCTGCCGTTGCTCCTCTTGAGAAAATCGTGCACGTGCTTCTGGGTGTTGAACCGAACGAAGCCGACGCTGCCGAAGGAGTACGCCGCTTACACCTCATCAATGCCCTCGGCGTCGTGGGCTATGGTCTTCTCAATGTACTCGGTGACGTACTTCTTCTCGGAATCCTCCGGGAAGCCTCCCACAACTGCTGTTCGAGAAAATCTGTCTTTGTCCTCGGCGGTCTTCTGCTTCTCTGCTTTGTGCGCGCCATCCAACGGAATCTTCATGAATTCACTGATCATTTTTTCCACATCCTCCTTATCCAAAAACTTGTTATCTATGATCTGGATCTTCTCTTCGATTGCGGTGACCTTGTCGATTGCCTCCTCCGCGATCGAGTACGCCATGCCTGCCTGCAACTTGACCTGCGCGAGCTCCGTCTTGACGTCTTTCATGTCATTCTGCAGACTCGTAGCCATTCCCACTAACTTCTGAAAGAGTTTTTCATGGTTGATGGCCCATGCCGGTACCTTCTCACTCTCCCCTCCTTCATTTCCCTCCCCACTCCCCTCCGCCTCCACGTCGATGACGTTCCCCGCCTCAACGCTCATAGTCGCCGCCTCCTCTGCCTTCAACCGTTTGTGCTTGGCCTGGGGGTCAGGGCTGCCCACCAACATGCGCAGCTTGTCCATGAGGCCGGACTGCACGAGGGTCTCCTGACGGACTGGCGAGTCGGACAGAAGACTGACGAGCCCAGATGGTTCTTGAGCCCAGATGGTTCTTGAGCCCAGATGGTTCTCGAGTGCTTCCAAGGCAGCCGGAATCAGGAAGCTTGCTACACATATACTAACAATAGAGAGCGCAGGACAATATGCAAGACAGCTACGTCATGAGCTGGCAGTCGTAAAGAGACAGCTACTCGACCAGAAGCCAGAAGCCGACAGGCTGTAATACATACGTGGATTAGACGACTACGCAGCATGCGCAAAAGATCTCGGCAACAAGCTTGGATCAAGCCCAACAGCAGCATAAGGACATCATACACAAAACCAAGACATCGTATGCCAATTTTGGAGAAGGAGTTGACCAGCCACAGACAGCACGCACCCAGCCCACAAGCACCAGCACCGCGCACGGGATGTGCAAGTAAATTCATACCCACGGTAGCGACCACCACTGGTCCAACTCAAAAACCACACCCAACGCGGACAAGGACGAATCTACACAGAAGCCCAAACCATTACCCAGAAAAGCACACGACTAATTTCAAGCCCACGACTGGACAATTGCAGAGCTCAAAACTGCCCAACAAGACAGAGATATTCATACAAGTTTACAACAACAACAACAACTACAAGCAGCAGAAGAGACCATGCGACAACTTCAAGAAGCGAGCGACCACCTGTCCGACGACCACCACGAGTCCCGCGAGCACACGCAAGCAATTCGACGCGCAGAACTACGAATGCAAGACAGCAAGGCGGCGCTAGCACGGCTAGAAGAAGCAGCGCAACGCGACGCCGAGCACACACCAAGACAACGCGAGCAAAGGCGACAACGCATAGAGCGTCTTGCAGTTCAATCGTCCAGATATGCACCACTTTCAGTCACCAGCTACAATGCTCATGACATTCTCAGGGCAGGACAAGCTACCGCAGAGCGCACGCAGCACTCCATCCAGCATATGCACCAACAAGACGGACTTCAGCACATTACCCTGCGACGTACCCAACCCTTTTGATACGCGTTTGTCTTCAGGACCACTCAATGCTGGCTGGCATTCTGAAGGACCCGCAGCGCGCAAGAAGTGCACTCCGGAGTGAAATCAGAAGAGACCATCAAGAAGAGGAACAGCAAACATACAACATGGAAGCACAAGGGCGTTGACAGAACACAGAAGCAGGGGGCGGCGAGGGCTAAACCAGAGCATCGGTCTAACTCAGCAGCGCGCTGCGCTGAAAGAGGCAAATGCATGAGGTGCATAACGGGGGCGGAGACTCACCCGAAAGTGGAGACAAAAGACGCGGCAGCGAACCCAACGACAATAATTCACACGTGGAAGCAAAAGGTCGCGGCCTCGATGATAAGCAGGAGCATCCAGTCACAGCGTGGGGGTTACCTCCGCTGGGCCCCCCAGGAGCCCACGAAAGTGGCGACAGTTCCGCAGGTCGCTAGCCCCCCAGGGGGCGGCAAAGTACCGAGGTGATCCGCGTGGGACGCACCTCCGCTGGGCCTCTCAGGAGCCCGCGAAAGTGGCGACGGTTGCGCAGATCGCAAGCCTCCCAGGGGGCGGCGAGGCACCGAGGTGGCCCGCGCATGACGCACCTCCGCTGGGCCTCCCAGGAGCCCGCGAAAGCGGCGACAGTCGCGCAGATCCCAAGCCACCCAGGGGGCGGCGGGGTACCGAGGTGACCCGCGTGGGACGCGCCTCCGCCGGGCCTCCCAGCAGCCCGCGAAAGCGGCGACAGTTGTGCAGATCGCAAGCCCCCCAGGGGGGGCGGCGAGATACCGAGGTGATCCGCGCGGGACGCACCTCCGCTGGGCCTCCCAGGAGCCCGCGAAAGTGGCGATAGTTGCGCAGATCGCAAGCGCCCCAGGGGGCGGCGGGGTATCGAGGTGACCCGCGTGGGACGCACCTCCGCTGGGCCTCCCAGCAGCCCGCGAAAGCAGTGACAGTTGCGCAGATCGCAAGCCCCCCAGGGGGCTGCGAGATACCGAGGTGATCCGCGCGGGACGCACCTCCGCTGGGCCTCCCAGGAGCCCGAGAACGTGGCGACAGTTGTGCTTGTCGCAAGCCTCCCAGGGGGCGGCGAGGTACCCAGGTGATCCGCGTGGGACGCACTTCCGTAGGAGGAGGAGGAGGAGGAGGAGAAGGAGGACGAGGAGGAGGAGGAGGGGGAGGAGGAGGAGGAGGAGGAGGAGGAGGAGGAGGGCAGAGGCCAAGCCGACGCTGGTCCAGCCCGCCGAGCCGGTTGCGGAGGTGGCGCCCTCGGGCCGGGACTCCGCTTGCGCGGCGGTCCCAGGGCGCCAAGAGCGCAGCTGGAGCTGCGGCGCGAACACGAAGGCGCGGCGGCTGCGACGTCTCCAGGATCAAGGTTTTCGGACATTTGGAGGGATCTCCTGGGCCCCCTGGGTCGTGGCCGCCGCTGGATCCGCTGCGGAATTCTAGCCAAAGGGCGCTTTCGGACAGGTCCAGACCAGGTTTAGACTTCCTGCGTTTCGAGAAAAGCTACGTGGCGGTTGTTTTTGCCTCAGTTTAGGCCTCTCGGGGCTTCTTTCGGCCCCTGGGAGTCAAGAAGCGATCTGGGATGAGATCGGTTCCCAGGGAATTGGTCGAGACACCTCGGGGCTTAAGCCACGAATTCATCGTGTGGTCGGGTGGTCTGGGATGGCGGCGGCGGAGGCGATTGCGACAACGACCGCCGCGGCGGCGACGGCGGCGACGCCGACGATGACGGCAACAGCGCCGGCGAAGGCCATCAAGGAGAAGTTCAGCGGCCCCGCGAAG